GTCACTACCAGTGGGAAGAAGGAGCATTTAGCTGTCAGTCTTCTTCCTGTGTGCAATGCCAGTGTCTCCTTCCATGTGCTCTGTGCAGCCACGGAGAAGAGCAGAGAGGGAAGGGGCCGGGCCCAGGGCAGTGCCCCGGGACTGTGCCTTGCATGGCTCCTTTGCCAGCCCCAGGGAGCCTGAGGGTCTCCTACAGAGCCACGAGAGCTGTTCTGTCCTACCTCTTTTTCAGCCAAGCCTCTTGCTGAAGGTGATCTGGCTTCCCAACCCACATCCAGGACTGAGGCTCTGGAAGATGGTGAGGGTAGGTGAAGGCCTTTCCCCCTGGGAGAGCTGCCAGCTCAGAGCCCAAGGCTTGGCCAGGAGAGCATCGCTGCAGGTGCCAGGACAGAGCCGTGCACGTGTGTGCCCTCACCCTGCGTGATCCTCTCACCACTCCTGAGGCTCAGTGCTGCCTGTTCAGATCAGAAGAGATGACAGAAGCTTCTGTGGCTGTTGAGTTACAGGTGTGTCTGCAGGGAGGACTCTCCCAGCTCCTGGGTTGGTTGCTGCACACAAGCCCAGCTCCCGTCACAGGGGTGAGTGGTGTGTCCCTGCTGACCCCACAGGCTGAGCCCTGGTTCTGTGGGATCCATTCATCTGAAATGGAAATACTTTCTGTTAAGGTCCTCCTAGAGGGAGGAACAAACCTACAGGAGACAAGATGCTGAGTGATCTGGAGAGACACCGTGGTGGGTCCATGTCCCTCAGCCTTCTCCTGAGACTCAGCAGCCAGGGGCTTTCTCTGCACATCTGGACACGCCGTGCCTGGCACAGCAGGAAGGGATCCATGGCAGCCTCACTGCCCCACTGCTGCTTTCACAGCCTGCAGGGCTGTTTCCCAGCCTGGCCTGGCTGCAGCTTCTCCCCAGCCTCTGCAGGAAGGCATTTGGCATCAGCTGTCAGGGAGCCCAAACTGCACCATGGGCCATGCACACCCTGAGATCCCCTGCAATTTCCTGGTCTCAGGCTGGATCAGGTGTAGGGCCTGCTTGGAGGAGGGAGGACCCTGGCCAGCCCCAATAACCTGGGCGTTCTCCTTGTCCTTATCCATGACTTTGACAAATATTGCCTCTTGAACATGCCATCTCCTCAATGGGGAATGGTTCCATCTGATCCAGCTGTGGCTCTTCCTTTCTCCAGAGATGAACCCAAAGGCTGTGCTGAAGGCGGCGTTTCCCGGAGGAAGCAGTGGCTCATGGGCAGCCTCTGCTGCAGGAAGGGAGGCCATGCCAGGCACAGTCCCAGGAGGTGATTGCTGTGCCCCTGGGCCTGAGCCCTGCTGAGGCTTGAGCTGTCATCTCTGCTCCTTGGCAGTGCCTGCCTTTCAGGGATTTTGCACAGAGCATGGAAAGAGTGTTGAGAGTGACCAGAGCCAGTCCAGAGCTTTCCCCAGGCCACTCTGCAGCTTTGGCCATGTCCATTGACATCTGGCTCCCATGGCCTTACCTGACCCCCTTGCAGTGCCCAGTTCCCTAAGGCAGAAGGGGATCCCAACACACCATGGAATGGTTCTGATCTGTGCTCCCTTCTAGACTGGGATCGTGACATGGAGCATCTGGAAGTGCTGGTAAATGGTGGTTTGAAGACCTTGCCAGATGCTGGAGGCAAGTTCTCAATGTCCCTTTCTGCACAGAACAATCAGTGTCAAGGTGGCAAGAGCTCACTCACGTGCCATTTCCCTTGAGAGTCTGAAGGTTGATGGATTCTGGAAACCTCGCCCTGCTCCCTTCTGGAGCCCTGAGTGATCCCACAGCATTGCTGTCAGTGGGAGGAAGGAGCATTTAGCTGTCAATCTTCTTCCTGTGTGTAATGCCAGTGTCTCCTTCCGTGTGCCCTGTGCAGCCATGGAAAAGAGCAGAGAGGGAAGGGCCAGGCCCAGGGCTGTGCCCCAGGGCTGTGCCTTGTGTGGCTCATTTCTGGCCCCAGGGAACCTGAGATGCTCCAGCTGCCGCTGCCAAGCCCTGGCCCTGCCTGGGGCTCAGTTCAGAGCTGCTGGCAGCTCCAGGGAGTCCTTTCTCCCCTGACTGCCATGCAAGGGGCTCCTTCCATCCCAGTGTGGGGCCACTGCAGGCACGTGGTCCCCCTGCCCCTGCTCCTGAGTGGAAGCTGGAGATGAGGGAGTGCCTTGGAGGGCACCAGTCACCCAGGTGCACTCACTGCCACTCCAGCATGAAGAAGAATCTTCAGCAGTGTCACAGGAGCTGTTCTGTCCTGCCTTTCTTTGCAGATGAACCTGATGATGAGGATGATCTGGATTCCCCGTCCATATCAGTTACTGAGCCTGATGATGAGGAAGATTATGAGGGTAAGTGAAGGCCTTTCCCCCTGGGAGAGCTGCCAGCTCAAGGCTTGGCCAGGGCGGCATCGCTGCAGGTGCCAGGACAGAGCCGTGCACGTGTGTGCCCTCGTCCTGCGTGATCCTCTCACTGCTCCTGTGGCTCAGTGCTGCCTGTACAGCAGAGATGAGAGAAGCTTCTGTGGCTGTTGAGTCACAGGTGTGTCTGCAGGGAGGACTTTCCCAGCTCCTGAGCTGGATTCTGCAAGCAAGCCCAGCTCCCATCACAGGGGTGTGGTGTGTCCCTGCTGACCCCACAGGCTGAGCACTGGTTGTGTGGGATCCATTCCTGGGAAATGCAAATACTTTATATTATGTTCCCCTGAGGAAGAAGAACAAACCTATAGGAGATAGTAATGTAGCAGTGGGGGAACTCAAATATCTGGACATAATTCTGAATGATCTGGAGGGACACTGTGGTGGGTCCATGTCCCTCAGCCTTCTCCTGAGACTCAGCAGCCGGGGGCTTTCTCTGCACATCTGGACACACCATGCCCGGCACAGCAGGAAGGGATCCATGTCAGCCTCACTGCCCCACTGCTGCTTTCACGGCCTGCAGGGCTGTTTCCCAGCCTGGCCTGGCTGCAGCTTCTCCCCAGCCTCTGCAGGAAGGCATTTGGCATCAGCTGACAGGGAGCCCAAACTGCAGCACAGGCCATGCACACCCTGAGATCCCCTGAGATTTCCTGGTATCGGGGTAGTTCAGGTTTAGGGTCTGTTTGGAAGAGGGAGGGCCCTGGAGCATTTCCAAAACCCTAGGAATTTTCCTGATCCTTATCCATGTCTTTGACAAGTATTGCCTGGAGAAGACCAGCACAGCACAGAGAAATTGTGCATTCAAGCTCAGGGGGTTGAGCAGTCTTGTGCCAAGGGGTGGCAAGGTGCCTGCAGGCCCCAGCTCTGGGGGAAACAGAGAATGTCCTGGCTATATCCAGCGTGCTGCCAGATCAGCAGTGGAGCACAGCACAGGCTCACGCTGCCCATTGCTCCCACAGATGCAGCTGGCACCACAGCACGTGCTCAGAACATCTGGGAAAGCATGAGAAGAGTTTTCTACCAGGGAACACATGGTTTGATTAAGTTAATGGCC